TCAAACCTCAGCTAGCACAGCCGAGTGAGTGACTCTGCAGACTAAAAATAGCTTCTTTCCCACTCATTCTGACAGATCTCACCCAGACCCAGTGCACAGGTAGGTCCTCTAACAAACACTTTCAGTCCTGCAGCAAAGTCAGGGTTGATGGCTTCGGGGCTTAACAAGTACCCAATCCTTTGTTCAACTCTTGTTTATTCCACGTTTCCTGCTCCTGCTCCAAGGGCTGCATGTTTGTGTGTGTGTGTGTGTGTGTGTGCATACGCGTGCATATGTGCACTGAGCTCCCTGACTGGGATTCGGCGCTCCTCAACCAAACGTGGGAAGACTTTAAACCAGGAACATGACTCAGGCCCATGGCTGCAGAGGGAGCCCAGAGCAAGGCCCTCAGAAACCCTGGGAATCAGCCTGTTTGTCTTGGGCCTTCTCCTAATTCCTAGCTAGCCTCTCCGGGCCTCAGTTTCCTCAACTGTAAAAGGAGGATAATCATTCCCAGTCTGGCCTATTTCACAGCATCATGCTGGGCACAAATGAGAGAAGGGACATGGAAGTTATTTTCCTTCAGACAGTAATCCTATCAGAAGGATGGATGGCAGGGACGTGACAGGCCGGACAGGCAGCGAGACGGCAAAACGAGGCTGGCCCCCTGGAACGGGCAGGCATCCCGAGCGGCCCAGGAGCTAGAGCAGATCTAGACTCACAGCTTCCGTTCATGTTGTCCCCTCTGCTGGAATGTCCTTCTCCCTTTGCCACACTCCTCCTCGTTTTTAAGAACCCAGTTCAAACATTTCTGTTCATGCATGGGTGTCTTCAGCGTAAATCACTCTATCTTCCCTGTTCCCTTGGCCTTTCATACACACCTCTCGTAGCACGTTCACTCTGTCCAGTAAGGATTTATCTACAAACCTGGAATTCTTTGAGGACCAGACATGAATTCTTTACCTTTGTATCCACACACACACTCCACCCCCACTGTGTGGTCAATACAGGCACGTGTCAGGTGTCAACCAATATTTACTGGGTTGACTACGGAATAGGCAAGATCCCAAAGCCAAGGAGGAGGTAAACTCAGGAAAGCAGGAAAGGTGGAAGAGCACACACAGAGCCCACAGCAGGGGCGGCAGGTGGGGAACCCAGGAAGTACTGTCACGGAGGTCAGCCTGCCCCGACAATAAGGTCACAGCCACCGGGACAGCAATCAAAGCTGAACTGCAAGTCCTGGGGGGACCAGGCAGTAGCATCACACTAAATCCCAGTGACCTAAACTGGAACAGAAGGCCCTTGGGGACAAGGAACAAGGGCAGAGAACAGAGCCAAGGCAAAGAGGCAGAGCAAGGCTCGAGTGGTACTGAAGCCTGGAACCTCTGGATTAGTTAAAATGCCCAGGTCTACCATAGTTGAGCCAGCAGCTAGGGGTCAAGTGATCTTGACTATGACCCTGAGGGACTCCAGGGCCAGGAATCATTATAACCTTAGGTAGTGATCATTTCCATAAAATAAGAATCAGATATGGAAGGGTCTCTTAGACCTGTAAGAAACATCAAGAAACACCTGGTCTAACATCCCCCACCTACATCTGGGGGAACTAAGGGTACAGGAGAAAAGGGGCTTGCCCAAATTCACTCAATCCAGGCAGAAGCAAAGCTAGAAGCCAGGTCTCCACTCCCAATCCTCATCCCCTCAGAAGCTGTTTGCCTTCGGTCGAGCTGGTCTTCTGATGGTCCCCTGCACATACTGGGTGCCCCGCCCTAGCTGCTTCAGAATCCTGGGGAGCCCCAACATACTCACTAAGTGAGCACAAGCACTTCTGCCCCACTGTGAAGTGCATGCTTCCACCTTTGGGCAGAGTTTAGAGCCAAGGTTCCAGGGGAATTATGCAAGTGGCATCCTCACCTGGGGCCAGGGAAGTTGTGGTTCACACACACTCTGTCCAGATATGTACAAGGGGGGATTAATCCCCATTACTCTGCTACCCCTGGAATTTTCCAAGAGTGGCTAGAGGGGCCGAGTATCTAAGGCCAAGCTGATAGAGCATGAAACACACGGTCTTCACCACAGTAAGAATATTAAAGAAAGGCCTGCCAGGGCTACAGTCTCAAAGTCTTTCTCAGGCTGGTAATGAGACATGGCTCAGAAGAAAGAATTGAGACTCTCAGGAGATCAGAGACTCTGCAGCCCAAACTCCCAGAACTTTTATCCAAGTGAGGATACATATGCAAAAGGACAGATGCAACCTTACTTCATCTATAAGGAAAAGTATGTGAGCTTCAAATATTTCAAGTTCAAGTCCCAGCCCCACTGTTTGCCTACTGTGTGATCTGGGGCAGTGACTCACCCATCCTGAGCCTGAGTCTCCTTACTCATAAAAGCAGTGATTATAACACTTACACCCAGTTTTATTGTGAAGATGAAATAACACACGTAAAGTTTTTAGTATGATATACCGCCAAGTCACGGTGTGTTTATTTGCTTTCTTTTGTTCACAAAAAGGGATGGTTATACCACCTGTGCTTCTCCCTTCTGTGTGGCTGTCACTCCGGATCCCAGACATCTTGCTCCTCACTCTGCTTATCCCTTGGACATATAAGAAGGCAACTGGTCAGCTATGGGCCACACTCAATTCCTTGAAGGTCAGGAACCATTAGCTTAGTTCAAGGCTGTTCCTGCTCCCCAGGTGTCCCTGGACCCCCCTGGCCAAGCCCCTCCCAGGGCAACACCTAGTTTAGTAGGGCTTTTTATCTTTTCCAAGGCGAATCCACTCCTAGCAGCTTAGAGCTGCCCACTGGCCTGGCTCTGGGCCTCAGGAAAATAGATGCCTGACAGGTCAGACCTGAACATCGACAGCGGGGTAACTCCCAGACCAAATTTACCAAAAGGAGACAGCCTGAGGTCTGAACCTGCAGGGAGACTGGCAAGCACACACACCAGCACCCCAGAGATTGGAGCAGAGATGGAGGGAACACTAATATGAAGCTGCCCCAAGGCTCAGGGCTCAAGCCAACTCCTCAGATAGCCCCACCAAGAAGCTAAACAAGTCACCTCAATGTCAGCCTCTTAGGCTATATGTGTGCACTGGCCATATCTGTCACAGTACTATACACATGATGGTCACCACATGGTGTTAAAAGGCAAAGACGAGAAAGGGCCCAACAGTTCCTGAGTGCCTGCCGCATGCCAAGAACCCGATGTGTAGTCCTCATTGATGACACTCTGCGGTAGGCATTATGGTCCTCATCCTGCCAATGAAACCAGAGACTGAAAAATCCATGAAGCCTCTGGGCCTCTGCTATTCTACTGAACCACAAAGTCTTAAATTTTCTGAGAAAGACAAAGAAGAGCAAAGGGTCTAAAGCACTCGGTACCAAGCTCTCAGCACCTTCCCTGGCTAAGCAGACAATATGAGCTAAAATATAAAATAGTGCATTCCCTCATTCGCTGCTGGGGGAGTCAACTCCTTTCAAACAGAATCTAGAGAAATACAGCCAAAGTCATAAAGATGTTCATGGCCTTTGCCCCTGCAATTTCATCCCCAAGACTGTATCTTAAAGAAACAGTTCAAAAGGGTATTCACTGCAGAGTCCACCATAGTGACAAAAAAGAGGAAATGAGATAAATGTCCAACATTCAAAGAACGGTTTGGAAAATCCCAGAACCTTTGACTCATATGTTATATGGCCCATTTGAAATGACCTTAGAGATCAGGAAGAAATAAAGCAAAGCATTTGTGATCAAATAAATGAAGACTGAATACAAAACATCATCAATGCTATCACTACAAATTTGTAAAGGAGGTACATGTGTATATGAAAAAAGGAATGCAGTTGTGAGGGTGGTTAAGATTAGAGATGGTATTATTATTATTATTATTATCATTATTATTACCATGTCTAAATTGCCTTTGTGGTTTTGTTTAATGAGTGTCTTTTCAATTAAATAAAAAGAGAGCGAGAAAGACAGACAGACTTAAACCCCAGCACTAAGGAAAGGCCCAGGAGGAGCAGGTCTGGGATGTGAAGCAGAAATTGAGAACCGTCCTACATACCCGGAAGGAGAAGGCCAGGCAGGCCCCAGGGGAAGGGAAGCCCTCTAGGTATGAAGAGGGTTGTAATTAGTCTGATGCTAATTACAGAAGTCTCGCTAGCTTATTAATTTTTCTGACAGACTCTGAATGAAGACTGAATTCCTTCATTAAGCCAACTTGGGTTCAGAGGCACATTTCCTATGTGGCCTTCCTCATTCTTCTCAAAAAAACCTTGCCTTTTCTTTTTTTTTTAAGGACAGCAGTAAAGTAAAATTTAGTAACAGAAACACACACCCTGGAGAAATTAAGACTCCTGCCTTAAATGTAGAAATTCAAGACATTTCAGGGAATTAAAGGGGCTTGAATAAGGAACTGAACTACAATATTTTCCACGCTGGGAAATACAAACAGAAGTGCAGAATACTTAGCTCAGTATAAAGGCCCCCTTGATCAGGTTCCAACCTGTCTTTCTGATACTACCTCATATTCGCCCCCACAGACACCCCATGCTCTAGCCAAACTGAACTACCATGGATCCCCAAATACTTTCTTCACTTTCCTACCCCCGTAACCCTGTTCCAGCTATTGTGCCTACCTGAAAGTCCTCTTCTCTCTTACAGCTGCTTGCTCAAGTCCGTCCCATCCTCCAAGGCACAGCTCAAAGCCATGTCCTCCATGACACCGGCCTAACCCAATCCCCAGAGCCTGAATCCATCTCTCACTCTTTGAAGCAGACCCGGCGTACTTGCAAACTCTCTAAAGGAGCTACACCCAGTCTGCCTTGCAGTACAGTTATCCGGGTATCTTCCTTTTCTACCATATTGAACCCCAAGCAACTTGAGGCAAGGACCCCTTCAGGGTCCTGCATGGAACCCACCACAATGTTCTCCACTAGGAGCACACAGTAGGCCCGCAGTCAACGCTTCAAAGCAAGACAAGGAAAAGAGATGCATCACTTCTATGGAAAGTCACTTCCTACCTCAACTGCTCCTGTTAAGCAAGGCAGAAAGGAAGGCATGCTCTTCGGAGGTCCTGAGCAGGGGTGTGATGGATCCTGATTTTGTAGTTTCCAGTCTTCACGAGACTCCAACTTCCTCCCTAGTTGACCATAGTCTGCTCGGCCCCAGGTAAACACCTTGCCAGTTTCTAAAAACAAACATTAGTTGAATTAAGGTTACATTCCACAGCTCTGCTCTCATGGGCAGGCAATGAATTATAAGAGGAAGCGTGAACATTTATTTTAGTATCAGCTACCACGTACCAGGAGCCATCCTTTCTTCCTGTAGGGAGAGCACAACCATTCACACTTTCACAGACATGGGGCCTGAGGTTCGGAGGGGAGAAATGGCATGACCAAGATCAAACAACAGTGAGCGCCAGAGCTGGATTCCAGCGGAGGCAGATTCCAAAGCCTGTGCGCCTGTATTTTAACAGACAGGGACAAGGTGACAGGGAACTCTCTGACCACACCTTATGGCCTCCCCACCCCTCCCTGAGCTTTGCCCAGACGTCTGTTCTCAGGCCGTCAGCCACCTTGAAGTCCCCGAGGCTCCTGCCTTGCCCCATGCCACAATCTCTTAGCACCTTCCTCCTAGCACAATTAATGGCCAGTTTCATGTGTTTTCTCTCCACGTAAGAGGACCTTCAGACTCTATGCTCTTACCCAAAGAAGCAATTCTCATAGTCCCAAGGCAAGTGTCTATGTGAGCTGGAAGGAAGGGAGTGAGAGAAGGGAAAAAAGACAAAATCATTTACAGCCAGGAAAGCCTCAGTCCCCCAGACGCACCACCTGGGAAGCTGGCCAGTGCAGAAGATGATTGAAGAAAATGGGAGTTTGAAAAAAGAGAAATGCCTTTCTTCTCTCAGATAAGAAAAAATTCACCAAACTCGTTCAGTTGTACCAAGTGCCACATTTGTTATTTCAACAGAAATGCAAAATCCGATGAGGCATAGATTATTAACAGATTCTCTGCAATAAATATGCATAACCATGTGCGCTGTATAAATTCTTTATACATGTTTATTTTAACAAAGAAAAACTTCGCTTAAGAGACAAAACACCAAGCAATGCATATTAAATACTAGACAAACCTACTACTATGATACTACTGTGTTTAGTATCAAAGCTTCATCTGGCCCCATATTCAACATACGGTTTGCAGCGTCAGCTACAATACAACCACAGACTCATGGGGGAAATGTCGGCATACTGAAGGGATGCAGTTCAGAGAATCAATCTGCTCACAGACACCACGGAAATACCAAGGAGTCCACAAGAAGTTCTGAGCTTCCTCATAGAGGGAAGAAAGTCTGTGTAGCCCCTGGGGTATCAAGTATGCGACAGGAACTGGGAGTGGGTCCACTCAGATGTGCTATTTCGTGGCCTCACATGTGCTGTTCCTGTTGCCGTGGATGCCCCTTCCTTACATTAGTCGTTTGATAAACTACGGCTCTACCTGTAGTAGAGCTCTGTGAAACCTTTTCTGACCCCTGAATCCCTCACAGAAAGGATCAAACGCACCCTCCTGTGGGCCACCTTTATTACTATACTCATCAACTACTATGTTCCCATTTAACAGGTGAAAAGTTAAGGTTCAGGGAAGTGACCAGCCCAGGGTCACACGGCTAAGCCACATCTCCTTCTTCTAGCCCATGGTACCATTCTGTGTTGGTTATTCACACAGGGTCTGCATCAATGATAAGCAACACTCAACACTCAACACTCTTCCCTCACTTCTGTAGGACCCACAAAAAAGTCCATGTGCCCAGGACCCACAAAGCATCCAAAACCAGCAAATTGTCCCTCTACTCGAGCTCGGTAGGATATATAACCAGACTACCCTAGAAAGGAGAGTCCGAAGAAGCTAGAGGATGAGACTGTTACTTCTTAACTTACCCTACATTCTTCTGCTGGAAAGAACTGGCAAGATGCTATCTGCAAGACTATCAAAGAACTATGTTATCACAAATCCCACAATGAATCCTTCCTTATCAAGTAAGACATCTTAGAATCTTCTCTCCTATTGATTATTGATGCCCAAAGCGAGCAAGACTGCCAGGATATGGTGCCGCCATTATTGCATCTCCAACAGCAATCCAACCATGCTACTTACATAGCACTTTTCACCTTCAAAGCACTTTACAGAGATTAACTAATTAATTCGCATGTTCCCTGAGGAGGCCACAGACATTCTATTAGAGACAAGCTCAAAAAGCAGGCTGACTGGATGTCCAGCCTTCACTCTCCAGCTCAAGTTTGCTCAGTCGGGTAGGTGCATTCTCTGAAGCTATCTGTTTCTCCCCAGAACAGACCCTGCATCAGAAGGCTCACAGAAGACAAAGGAGATTCTTATTTTTCCTTTTAAACAGACACTTAATGACCACTTCCTAGGTGCCCAGCACGTTCCGAGCCACTATCTCAATTAATCCTCAAAATAGTTCTACATAGTAGAGATTACTAAACTTATTTCACAGATGAGGTTAAATGACTTGGTCAAGACCAAACAATCAGCAGGTGGTAGAATCAAGATTAAAACCTGTGTTTTCTGACTCCAAGACCACTGGTAGCTCCACTGACTGCCCAGCTGCTGTCAATTCTTACAGTGTTTGAGGAGGGGGAAAGTTCAGATCAAATGGGTAGGCTCTGCATACCCGCTCTTCCCAGGATGCCTTGCACAACTCAGGACTATAAGTGCTGAAATAAAGACATTTAACACAAGGATGATGATTTTAGGTCACCTGGAGTAAAAAGAAAACAATGAATCCACATACAAAAAGTGTTCACTAATGCACTGTAGACAAAAATATGTCTCAAGCAGAAGGATGCTTTCAAATCCAAGGAGATTCAGAGCACGAATATAACAAATGAATTTTTTCCTTATAGTCAAGAATTATATATTACTCTGACAAAAGATACATACCTTAATGTCATCCAAAAAGTATAGGTATGTGTCTTCAGATAAATGAGAAAAAGGACCAACAGCACAAAATAAAGTCAGCAAATAAAATATCATTTCAAGGCATGCCCATGTGCAAATTGACATAAAATCACTATGGAGCCAAGACGTTAAGTATAGGCGGCAAAAGATCCCAACACAACACAGAACACAACAGGGGCCAAGTAAGTGTGAGCACTGACAAAGAATGCCTAAAGAACTTGGAGGATTTCAGGCCAGAATTGTCCTGGCAGGCTTGATGGAACAAGTGACATTGAAAGTGAACTTCTAGACAGGAAAAGAAAATGGGAGAATGAGGGAGAATATTCTAGGAGTGGGGAGAGGGGACGAACAATGACAGAACCAAATGGCACAAGGTGGGGCAGGTGGAGAGAGAGTGAGGGACACGAGGAAGAGGGACTGCAAGGAGAGTCAGGACTGCGGGCTGGGGTCACCACAGGGAAATGCCAGGCTCAGGGTCTGGATCCCACCTTCCAGACCAGTCCAAACTTGCTGGCTTGTACTCCCCTGTTAGTAAAATATTTTTTGACATACCGTATATATGTATACACACATATACACCTGTATACACATGTACATATACGTTCATCTATTTATTAAAATATACACTTACATTATATACATATATCAATTATAAGTATATCCTTATTTAAAAATATACGGTGTAAAATATACTCAAAGGAGAAAATTTAAAAGAATGAAATAAAAATACATAAAAGAAATCATACTTTGTTCTTCCCACACCCTGGCAATTCATCTCACATGCTCACTTTAGGAAATGCTGCTAACTAGACCATGGGGAGACTGCAGACAGGGAGCAGGGGTGGGGCCTGGTCAGAGGAGTGTTTGGGAATGGAGCATCTGGCAAAGGTGGAGGGACCAGTAATACGAATATTCGTAGCTAACACTTGTGTTGCACCTACTGTGTACTATGTACTGGTCTACGCATTCTCTATATGGCATCCCGTGTATCACTCTTCCCAGCCCCATTTGACGCACAAGGCACTAGGCACTTATCCAAAGGCACAGCAGTAGTAAGCGAAAGGGAAAGAAGAAAGTCACTACAATTACACAAGCCTAAGACGGATTGGGGCTGAACCTAAGGTTGAAGTCCCAGGGGGAAAACAAGTTAAGAATTTGCAAGGCTTGGCACCCCATCAGATGTCAGAGAAAGGGAACAGGAGGAGATGAACACCACTCTGAGATTTCAGGATTTCAAGGTTGGTGGGAAGGTGGTGGTGCCCTTAAAAGAAATAGCCAGATCTGCGGTCCCCGTCAATGGGAATCATGAGGTATTATTTCATTACTACATGATTTAACTCTTCTGAGACCTTTTGCAAACATCTTATCAAATAGTCAAATATAAATAAAGAGGAAGTGGAGCGCCTGGGTGGCTCAGTCGGTTAAGTGTCTGCCTTCGGCTCAGGTCCTGATCCTGGGTCCTGGGATTGAGCCCCATGAGCTCCCTGCTCGGCAAGGAGTCTGCTCCCCGCCGCTCCTTCTGCCCCTCACCTCCCCCACCCACCTGCATGCTCTCTCTTGCTCTCTCCCTCAAGTAAATAAATACAATCTTTTATTTAAAATAAAAAAAAGAGGAAGTAAGCGAGGAGAAAGATAATTCCATGCAAAGTCCTGGCCAGGGGCAGAGGAGGTCAGGAGGCTGGGGGGCTGGTGAATGTTCAAGGGGCCAGCTTCCTTCAGCATCCATTGGAGGGCTGTCTGGAATGGGGGTAAAGGCGGTAAGAAGTCACTCCAGCAATGTCTAACTAAGCTCTTTAGGGAAAGGGAATTTCTACCCCGTTCCAGGGAAAGGGGTCCTGAAGGTGAGAGGAAGATGGAGTGTAATATAAAGAACATTCACACTTTCTTAAGAGAATGTCCCAAAAGGGAACAGAGTGTCACTGAAGGTATCAGAGGGAGTCAGCAAACAGAGGTAGATGTTATAAAAAGCACACCCCTGGTCAAGGCAGAGAAAAGGCCATATAGCCCCTCAGTCTGTCCCCTAGCATATCCCAGGCTAGGAAGCCTCCTAGAGCACACGCAAGTAACAAGTGAGCCCCTCTCTAGCTAGCAGTTTGTGACATTTATACTTCATCTGCTGACAAACACCAGTTACTCTCAGGTTATTAATTCTAAGTCCGTGAAGCCTAAGAACCTGATTTCTGTAACTCATCCTTTGTTTTGCCACAT